GTCCGAGGGCTGCTCTGTGTTTCACAAAATGGAAAGTTGAGAGATGTGCCTGTGTTGAAGTTGTTTATTAATCTGAATTGATAATCATGTTTTCAGTAGTGAGCGTCCTGACGTTAGCTACATAAATAACTTGCAGCACGAGTACGATGTAGAAGGAGGACTGAGCTTAATGTTTGGCTGCTGGTGGAAAATGTTGAATTCTGTGTTGGTTGTTTCTCCAATAGTGCTGCAACGAATGATTATTTTCATTGTTGATTAATCAGTTTCTCTGTGAATCTATCAAATGTTGATAAGTGTTTCCTAAAGTCTCCGACGACATCCTTGAATGTCTTGTTTTGTCCACAACCCAAATATATTCCAGTTGTTTGTCGTAGAGGAGGAAAGGATTAATTGAGTGATCATTGCAGCTCTATTTTGCAGTTTTATTTGTTGAGGATATTAATGTAGAAGCAATTTATTGCTGTTTTGATGAAAGTAAATAAGACAACATCCCTAAATCTCAGGGTGCCCATATAGCTCACCTCGTTGAGTGGGCGACCCATGAACAGGGGCTATAGTTCCTGATGCAGCGGTAAAAAAAAAAAAAACATCCCTAAATGTCTAGATTTAGCATTCGAGCAGCAACATCCCTGGTTTTATTCAGGCAGGGCGGCTTCATTTTATGCCAGTAAAAGGCGTTAAAAGGATTTAGGTTCATGGCTCCGTCCACCTGCTCAAGACCTTGAACTGCTAAAACTTCAGTATTCAGAAGCACAAAAAGCGACACTGTGATCAAGAAGATTAGTTGCTGGTAAATCCAGACAAATCCTCTGCGCTTAATGCTGCACAGTAGCTTTGTTTGTCTGGTCAACACGTGTCCATGGTTAACATACAGACACCAGAACCTTTTAATCCAGATGTCTGTGCCAGATTTGGGAGAGAAAAGCAAATTTCCCATGTCCAGCTCATGAAGAGACTCTTTGAAAACGTGTACTTTACAAAGCGTCTGTCTGGATGTTAATGCTATTAGCCATCAGAAAGATCATCAGTCTGCAGTCTGAGACAAACAAGCTGTCTGGCTTCAGTCAAAACCTGACCAAGGGCTCTGTGGGAACGCTAAAGGTGTGTTTATCTGTAGCGAACACATTTAACCTGGCGTGGTTTTTTATCTGGCTGCAGGTCGGGAGGCTTGTTTTTGAATCTGTGCATCTGAAGGGAAGGGTTTCATTAGACATACATTCCTGTGATTCCACACATTCTGACCTGAGAGCCTCTGCTGCAGACCAGCACAAGGAATAATCTGATACTCCACCAAAGTTCCTCAGGAGAACTTTGTGTCCTCTTGTCTGGGAGGTTGAAGGTCAGACCTGGCCTCGAAACACAGAAACCCCAAAGCTGGTATAGATTTTCTGTCTTACTCCAGATCGCCGCAGATGATACGGACCAGTTCTGCAGCTACTGTTGTTCTGTTTTTACCCACATCGGCTGGAATTCTCTGCGAGGCCGAATTGTTTCCACAGCTGGCGGCATGAGGAAGAGGTTTTGTATATCATATAACAAACTCTGTATAATACGCTTTATTTGTGTAGTACTTAGTGAAACAGCTACAAAGTGCTTTCAGACAGCGCAGCAATAATAAAAGACAAATGTCTAAACAGTGACGTGTGAAAAATGGAGCGAAAGAAAACATCCTCATCATCATGTGACGTTCACTGTGAATAATGATTTTTCCATCCTACATGTTCTCAGGCCCCGATATCGGAGGCATCCTGGGCTTTCCACTTGATTTCCACTGGGTTTTCCCGCTCTGACAGCCAAACGGGAAATCTGGAGCTGGGAAAGGACTGATGGTCGGCTCAGATTATCTGTCAGGAATCTTCACAGTGATGCTAACTCTCCTGATAGCATCGAACATGTCTGATGCGTTTGACCCGCTATGCAGAAAGTTAGGATGGGTGTAAGATGTAACCAGTGACAGTGTAAAAACAAAAGCTGTGGCTCTGCTGTCTTGATTAGTTTCCCAGTGAGGAGCTCCGGACCACAGCGATGCTGAGTACAATTATCTTTACAGGGAAATTTTAAACATGGTGGGCAGCTTAAATACCTCCATCCTGTGATTTTCACTGCTTAGAACCGTTTCTAATAAAAAGTTGAAATGTACTTTTTGTTGCTCAGCCTGAAGCTTTTCAGAGAGATTTAAGATCAGACCTTGAACCTGAACAACTGATTTTTCTTGTAACTGGACAGAGGAGGAATGACAACACATCACACATTTTACTGTAAACTGACCAAAACCGCTGCACGGTTCTGGTTTATTTTGGCTGCTATCTTTATAATGGGTTCTCTCCGGGTTCTCCGGCTTCCTCCCACAGTCCAGAAACATGCTGAGGTTAATTAGTGATTCTAAATTGTCCGTAGGTGTGAATGTGAGTGTTCTTGGTTGTCTGTCTCTAAGTGTAGCCCTGTGATAGACTGGTTACCTGTCCAGGTGAACCTGCCTTCACCCTGAGTCAGCTGGGATAGGCTCCGCCCCCCGTGATCCTAGTGAGGATGAAGCGGTGTATAGACAATGGATGGATCTTTAGAATCTAAAAGACGAGATATTTCTGCCAGTCTTATCTACATTTTGGAGCTGCTCAATCTTTAAAGTCAGCTGCTGTTTGCAGTTTAACTTCAAGTCGTTTCAAAAGTTTCCTTCTTTACTCCTGAAAACCTGTAACACAGCTGTGAACAAAAGTTTACAAACACTTTTTTACAAACACACAAACTAGTATATGATGGCAGACTTTGTCATATTTCTAGAAGACCTCTAATAAATCTATTAAAGAATCAAAATGCACGATTGCATGTGTTTCACTGATTCCATCTTAGAAAATTCAGAGTAATAGGAGTCACTGAAAACTCAAGACCAGCGTGCAAGTGTACGTTAACTTTTGATCACGACTGTACCAAGCAACCTGTGAAGAAGAAAGAGTCAGAATAGCACGACCACAAAAGGTCACAAGCCAAACAGAAGGTAACCAGAGATGTAGAGCAAAAGACAACGTGATAAAAAGGCTGCATGATGCAGCTGCAGCATCAACATTGTGATTTAAGTGAAACCCATCATGCTGCAACTTTATTCGCTGCTCGACAAGAACAGAAAACTTTCACATTTCTCATTTTCTGGAACCAATCCACAAGAGAAGCCTGTCTGATGATTTACTTCTATTTGATTGTTCTCGGATTTACTGAGTTTTTGTTTTAAAAATGTGCAAGTAACAGGATAGAAACACTCAAAAAGGAGGATTTGGTTGCAAAAAGAAATGCAGTGTCAGTTGCGTGGAAACGTTTCAGCTGCAGAAAGAACGATGTCGACCAAAGACTTGCGCTGCGTCAGAGCCTCGCACCGCATGAGGCGACATGAATAATTAGTTTGACCGTTTAAATCTGCACCACACAGCTTCGAATGAGAGTCTGAATGCCATCCAATGCAACAAAAAAACATACGAGAAAGGTCTTTATTCAGCATTTGTTTAAATCATTCGTTATTTTTAAGGATCCACTCCCTTACGAAGTCAACGTAGTAAGTCTAAAATGATTCATTATTTCCAGACAGAACTGTGAAAGTCATCTTGTAAAGGAGATGCTGTATTTATATGTCTGCAACATCATGCAGCCTTAATTTGGTATACGCTGCTTTTATTTTCCCTTAGGGTCAGTCATATTCTGGACTCTTCAATCAGCCGTTTAGTCCTGAGCCCACCTTGCATACAGACTGAGGATAGCGAGGTGTTTATCACGACACAAACACATCCTCACACACACACACACTTTAGAGTTATTTGCACTGTAAAGAATTCAGTCATGCAGAAACCCAGCGTGCACCTCCACGTGCAGAAACACACACACTAGAGTTGTTGTGGAGCGGACAGTGGGTGGACAGAAGGGTGTCAGCTGGTAAAGGATGCAACGCTGCAGCGGTGGTGGGAGGTCCGAGCCGACAGCGGAGACTGATGAAGTCTCTCGGTGAGCTCAGTGGGATCCGCGCAGCCTCCCGGTGCTTCGTCCTGCCATGTGTTCATCTTTCTGTTATCGCTGCCTCCCTCTCCCGAGAGCCTCACAACCCATCTTATAGACGCTCTGATTCTCTGCAGTTTGCTAAATCTGATTTTCTTTTCATTTGCACTTGAGAAAGGAGCTGATATTTTCTTATCACCGCGCACAGCGACAACATGCACACAATGTTGTTTTTTTTTCTTACTTTAGGCGCTCTTCGGTGAAAATACGGAACAAAACGTGAGGTTAGAAATCATCCTTGAAGAGGAAATCACAGCTTCTGTGACTTTACAGACGATCTGGAGTCGAGTCTGATCTGTTGGCTTGTCTTTGAGATGTAGTGCGTATTCACCTTGTCACCTTCAGCTGAATAATTCACTGTACCGTTGACGTATCTGGGAATTTTATTTGACAGCTGTTGTGATTTTGCCCCAGAAGCAGCTTCAGCTTTAAGGACGAGAAGACGAAACATTTCAAACAAAGCCGGTCAGCTGACCATATCGGTATTTAGGGAAACGCCTCGGTTCAGCCGAAATCCAGAAGCCCCAAGTGTCAGCAAAACATGTTAGAGAGAGACAAATATGATGTCCTTTTGTTGTGGTTTTACAGTGTGGGTGTGTCTCTTTATATTTATAAGAGTCACATTTCAGACAGAGCTATTTAAAGATCTGTCTCTGCAGCACTCAGCATTCCTGATGCTCAAACATTACAAGCAGTTTTTATTAATGTTTCTTTTCACATTTTGCTCTGTTAAGATGCAAAAGGAGGTTTTACAAAGAAGCAGTGGCCAAGTTATCCTTCCCACAATGCACTTTGGTAGCAGTTTGTTGTTAAGCGTTTGTAGCTGCATGTAAAATCAGCAGAATGAATCTTTAAATAAATTATTGAATCAACTCCAGATAACAAAATTCAACCAGTTATGATCCAAACATCAGCTTGAGTTTGTTTGGCAGCAGCACCAACCCCCATCTCTTCTCCTGCAGGTACGACTACGTGGAGGTTTACAACGGCGGCGAGGAGTCTTCGCCCATGTTGGGAAAGTTTTGCGGGAAAATCGCGCCGTCTCCGATCATCTCCACCGGCAGCCAGCTCCTCATCAAGTTTGTGTCCGACTACGAGACCCACGGGGCCGGATTCTCCGTCCGCTACGAGGTCTTCAAGACAGGTACGTGCTGGTCTGTGGTTTCAAACTGAAGTTTCCCTCAATCGCTGTTTTTTATGCACTCCGCTGATGAATCACCTCATGGAAAACAGCCAATTTAAATTCATTCGTAGTTCAGCCAGGTTTACAGAGGTCTGTTTAGTCGCCTTTGTTTCGATGACGTGCATCATCCTGCTACATAGGATGAAAAATACTATAAAATAAACCATTTCTGCAGCAGCGGATGAGAGAGAAATTAAACAAATGAAAAATGTCACCATATCTGTGCCTTAAGTCCACATTGTGATTCCCCTTTGTGCTGTAAAATAACCATCAGCTACGAGTGAGAAAACATTGGAAACCTGGGGGAGAGTTTAAGGTTTTAAAGGGGTAATACGGAGGCAAATAATTTCCGTGCCACGTTTAATGAACACAGGAGTAACATGGTCTCTTTGTGGAGGTGTGAAAAAGCAAAGTGCTGAAGGGAAGATTACCTAATACCAACATGTAGGGAATTACAGTAGTCTAGGCAACAAGAAGTGCAGATAACTTTCCCCCAAACACGGTTGTAATAAACTGAAATTGCTGTTGAAACCCACGAACAGCTTCTCACAGCCGCTTGACAAACCCTGGAACTTGCACCGTGTGTGTCGCAACCTTTTTCTGAGAAATTCGGTTTTAAAAATATCCCTCTGTGTGTGTGTGTTTGACATCCGCGGCTGAACCTCTGGTACACTGACCTTCTAAACTTCAGGCCAAATAAACGCAAAGGCCCCAGGATCCATCGGAGGAACAGCGAGTCCCAGCTGGGGCAGGATGCTAGCAGGACGGACCTACATAAACACTGGCCGACGAGGAAGGAACCTTGCTCCCGTGTCCTACATTTGTATTTGCTTTCTTTCCCCTCCTGGGTCCACTTGAGTAGCCGCCAAAACGGAGAGTCTCCTGTGGCCACTTCAATTTTCCACCAATGGGGACTGGAGATAAATCAGATAAAAAAAAAAAAAAGGGGAACATGCGTTTGCACCCCAGAGAGCAATAACCATTCACAGAATCACAGGATCCAGAAATAACCATCCCCAGGTGGCCTCGTGTTAGAAAGTGCCGTATTGTACTATGAAAAATGGATAGGCAAGTGCTCTTTTATGCTTAAACGAGAAGCACAGCGGCACTATGAGCGAGGTTAGAGGCCCTGCCGAAGCTTCTCCTCACTTGTCTGGTCTCTGAACTACAAAGTAAAGCCCAACTTCTGATATCAAAACTTAAAAAAAAAAAAAAATCTACTCGCATCGACTTTAATTTCAGGGTGCAAAGTGTAGCCGTGACTGATGAATGACAGGATGTTATTAGAAAGTCAGTGTAATAAATCTTTTAAAAGTAGGTCAGCAAAGTATCGAAGGGACGCTGGTCCTCCTGAACATTTTTCATTAAGGATTTTTTTTTAAAGATGTAGCTTCCATAAAGATTCTGATGATTTATATTTGGGCTTTGATCTCCAGTAAAAGATTGGGATTCAGAGACGTCTGGGGGAGTTATGGGGTCACCTTCTCGTTTGCTTAAAGAGTCTGGATCCTTTTTAGCTGAAATCGACACCTGTGATGGTGAGTTTGGAAGTTAGTGCAGAGATTTGTGTGCATGCAGACGGACAGCAGCTCACTGTAGACCAATAGTTGTTCTTTGTAGAGCTTATATATATTTTTTTTTCAATCCAAGTTACAAAGTGTCTCATGAGGCTGCACATAAAACAGATGAGTTATAAAATCATTAGGTTTTAAAAGGAAGATGAGACACAACATTGTTAGAAAGGTAAAACATATTACTGCAGGAAATAAAAGACAGTTTAGAGGAAAATAAAACTCATGTAAAGTCAGGAAAGGCTCTCTGATAAACACGTTTTAACTTTTAGAACGGAAAAGACGTCTGACCGAGGATCTCCAAGTGTATATCGGTGCATTTGGTCCTGAAAGGTCAGAGATATTGCTTGAATAGAGGCCTTAGAGGGCCTAAAAGGTGATCAGAAAAACTGAAAATCTATCCTGAAACACACAACAGTGTAAAGAAGCTGAAACAGGAGTGAGGCGATGGCGTCTCTTGGTTCTGGTTAAATTCTGGACTGACAATCCAAAATTATCAGTGAAGCTAAAGGAAATATGCATGAACAAAGCTTCTGAACAACTAGTTTCTCACCTGATTTTAAAATAGTGAAATCTGTACTTAAACATGCTGGAAGCCAAAATAAAGAGGCTCAAATAGGAGTGAGGTGATTGCATCTTTTGTTCTTGTTAAATTCTGGATGAATAACGTGAAGCTAAACGTAAGCTGGAAAATAGCTACGAATTTGTGTGTGAGAATCCTTTAAGCAGCTCGTTCCTCACATGGTTTAAAAATCTATCCGTAGACATTCTGGAAGTCAGCGTAAAGAGAATAAAATAGAAGCGACGGGTTTGTGTGTTTTGGTTCTGGTTAAGTTCTGTACTAATGATCAGTAGCTCATGGTAAACAAACTGGTTATACAACCAGTACCTCTGATGATTTTAAAAGTTTTACACAGTTTGAAGTTCAAACCCTCGAAAAAATAGTTGAGAAAACAGTTTTTTGATCTTCACTGGCAGGTTTCTGTGGAATAAGTCCAGTTTTAAGATGTTATTTAGTCCGATTTTAAAAAACAAAACAACTTTTGGTCAGAAATGACCATTGGACCTCAGATTTAACTCTGTGCGATCAAAGCAGCTGCTTGTGGCGACTCTATCTGACCATCGGAGCGACTTCAGAAACAAGTCAGACGTTGAGAGACGAGCTGCACGGCATCATGAAGGTGAAGACGTCGGGTCTGAGAGCCTCCAGTCCCACCTCGTGATTGTCAGAGAAACTGAGCTGTTTTCCTGTTGTTGTTGTTGTCGAGTGCATCCAGCTGCAGCTTCACAACCAGCTGGGAACTCACTTCTGCAGATCAGCCTCTTTGTTGGTTTGGATACGCTGCATATGGACACGTTTATTTTATTTTTTACACGGTTTTATGTTTCCATCAGTTGTTCTTTGTGTTGCAGTGTGTGTGTGTGTGTGGTTTGCTTTGTGTGTGTGTGTGTGTGTGTGTGTGTGTGTGTGTGTAGCAGACAGGTGTAAGAGACCCCAGGCTCATTTAGCTAATGGGCTGTTTGTCCTTGGAGGCAACAGGGGTGACCTGCAGATGAGATGGATGCTCTGGCAGAGACGAGGGGCTGAATCTAGGACAGAGTCTGTGTGAGTGTGTGTGTTGGCCTCAATATGGGTCCTCTACCTCCTAACAAGTTAAAAACAGCACTTGTACTCACTCAGGTAATCCCCCTGCCATGTTGCTGCTTTGCTTCTCGCCACATTTAAAATCCATTACAGTCAGAGCAGCATATTGAAACTAAATGGAGCCGCCGCTCTGGTTACAAACAGGCTTTAGTCTCTGCTGAGAACTGCTTCCTTTGTCTCCGTGGCATCGTCTCTTTCTGTTTTTGTCCTTTAATCTCACATCTTTGTTTTTTTTGCCTCTAATGGTGAATCAATCAGTCGACCCCGAAGTCTGAAACTGACAGAATACGACACAAACGACTACATTTTAGATATTAGACATTTAATTTATGTATTTTTTCACCTTTTCATGCACATATAGCAAAACACTAAATACATAATAAAAGGATAATGTGAGGTTTTAAAAGCTGCAGATGTATATGATTAATCACGTTTTGTCACTGCTGCAGATTTAAGAGTTCTGTTTGGATGAAAATCATCTTTGCCACACGATTCAAAAGCTGTTAAAGAAAATGTTAATATTCCAGCAGCTGGGCAGCAGAACAACACCGTAAAATGGGTTTTAGTGCATAATGAAGGATATTTACATGAACTAAAACAATGAACTTGTCTATAAATATGGTCGACTAATTAAACAATTAATCCGGCATAAAAGTTCAGAAAAGTGTCATTTGTTGGGTTTCATCATTAATTATATATAAAGAATCTGACTAATGACATAAAATCTAAAACAAGATGCAGTCATAGCACAAGTTATGCTGTTATTTTATGTAACTTCAAATGTAAAATTAGCTTTTACATGTAATTTTATGTTAGAATCTTATTAGTTTAAAGGATTTCCACTTTTAGAATGAACCAGATTTATCTTTGAGGATCAGATATCTCAGGCTGGACGGTGTCTGTACAATGACAGTTTAGCAAAGCTTATTGATATTATCCACTGATTAAAACAAACTTATTCAACATTTATTTTTTGCACATTTCTGGAATTCTTTTCGATATCTCGTATTTAACAACATCACAGAACCAATTCTTCTTTTTAGGTTATTTTTCTCTAATTTACCAAAATTTTAAAATATATTTACAGTATTGATCTTAAATTTTACACTTTCATCCATTAAATCCAAATAGTAAATATCTGTGGAATTTTAATACATTTTGCAAATTTCTCATTTTAATGGTTTTTGTTTGGTGAAATTTTTTATTTTTATTTTTTGCAGTTTTTTAATGGTATTTTGCATTAGGCATGTGAATTTATTGTTCAGTTTTTATTATTTAACTAATATTTTCCTGTACTTCAACAATACGGGAAGAAAAATCTGTAAAATAAAACCAAATGTTTCCATAATTTTTTTTCTCAATACAGGACGCTTATGTGTAAAATATAAATTTGTCTTATTATTCACCTTTAAGGTGTCAGAAAACTTTTTTTGTACACATGTAAAGTGCTGATTATGTATTTTGTTTATTAAATACTGTTTTATGATTTTTTTTATGGGTAAAAACACACTTTTTGCGAAAAACAACAAAACAAAACTCATTTTTAACAAATTTGCACAACATGAAGCCAGGACATGAAGCATCTCGCTGATCTTTGGAAACACTGCAGCGTTTCTGTGTTCAAACACCCAGAAATGACTGATGTTTTTGTTTTCTTACAAGAGAAGCCCTGCGGCCGCGCTAGCAGTGACTATTTTTCAGCATCAGAGATAAGCGGCACCGTGATGCCGCCTTACCGCCACAAAACCTCTTTGTGAGGAAGTCGTGGACGGTTTGGACTCGAAGCTGCAGCTCCCTTCAGTCCACGTGGGTTTCTTGTAGCTATGATCACCTGGAACACAGTCAGCATTAATGGATGTGACATTTTTTAAGCAGAACACGTAGATTAAATCAGAATCAGATCATGAGTCTTAGTTTTTCTCGTGCCTGATGCTGCATGTGTCTCTACTTACCTTTTCTACATTTCTGTGTATCTGTCTGCGGTTTCATCCCTCATCTCCGTCCTTCTCCTCCCCGTCTGTCATTACAGACAAGAAAACCCCCAAACAGTCCCACAAAAAGCAGCTGCCCTTATTCAGATGACATGTTTGGCTTTAAAGATGGCACTTGGCAGCAGCGGCTAAGTCTCAGGACTAATGATTGCAGCGCTGCATCGCTCGGTCGCATCCGTCTGTTATAACCGTGACCATAACCCCACCCTCCGCTGACCACACGGCACATTTCATTCATAAATGATAGCCAGAGTGAGGCGTCCTCGTCGTCCTGGAGCTATATTTGGCAGAGCGCTCTTGTTTTATTGCAGGTTTTCGAAACCAGAAACACATGTCTGTCTCAGCAGTTTAGTTTTTCTTTTCTGAAGCGACTTCAAGCCGCAGCTGATTGAAGGGTCGCTGATAAAACAGATGGAGGAAGATGAATGGGAGGAGGACGGACCGATGGGAGATAAGAGCAGCGTGTTGTTTGAGGGAAAAAACAAGCGCTTGTGTTGGAAACGCAGCACAATAACACAGACATGCTTCAGCGCACCATGTATGCAACCTCCCAGAACAAATATGCAAACACACTCACATATACAAAGATATTTTTGGCTCATCTGATCTTTTTTAGGAGCTTTTTTTCTTCTGCTTCTGTTGTGAGACATTTAGACTCGTGTGCTTGAGTCACATGCAGTCAGTGGACACTCGGACTAAATATGTTCTGCTTGAATTCTGGATCTTTTTAAAGGAAATTTGTGACACTTTTGCACATTTGAATGATGCAAAAGTTTTGCTGGAGGTGTGTCGGCTCTGAATGCTTTTAGTTTACAACATTATTTGCGTTTATGTAATTTGCACAAAGTGGTGTCCTCAACACAACGAAAAGCTTTCTGGGCATTTTAAGTTTTTGTGACATTTTTCCTCACTGTGGCTCATTTTTCACTGCAATATAAAATCCTGCACCTCTATGGAAACAGGACAGCCATGACTGAAGGTAGAGAGAACCCCAAAACCTGTTCTGTGCAGTATAATGCACCTATAACATCATAAATCATACAAAGAGGAAAGACGAAAGTTGAGTTTCTTGAATTATTAATTTTACAAAAATGGGGGAAAAAAGCTGCTGTGTTGTCAATTTTGGGGTGGGGTGGGTGTGAATGATGGCTCTACATGTTATAGATATTATTTATATATTATAGATATTATACTACTTACATTTGTTATCTGTTTCCATCATGTTTCCTACCTTCTCTGTGTCAACACTGCCTACAGTTCAGCCTAGTTTAACTGAAAGCTCCCTGATTTTTTACCACCTGGCCGTTGGTCACAGGTGAGTCATTCATGGCGACTTGATTGCGTTTATAAGCACAAAATTTTAATTTTTTTACAGAATCTACTTTGAAAAGACGGTTCTTTTTTTATGTAAATTATACATGTTTAAACGAGACATTTAGACTTTGAGACATTTTGATCAAATGTCTGAGCTTTTAGCTGACATCAAATCGAAGGTCATATATTGTGAATTCAAAGGCCAGTCTGACAATTCTTTCTGTTTTCAGAGTTGTTGATTATTATAAAGTGTCATTTCTATAGATATTTTAAAAAACAAAACAAAACAAAAACCCAGCATGTCTGTTAGACCTGCTGGTGGTTTAAACGTGATGTCAAACAATCTTCAGCTTTATTAGTTTTTGTATCCTGAGCTTTTGTGCCATGAAATCATGTTAATTTCTGACCTCGACACACATTCGGCATCACAGATTTCTCAACCCAGATTCAAGGCAGCCCATCAACAGACTCTCTCCAAAGTGTGCCAGCTGAGCAGGATCGAAGCCTCGTCCCCTGCCGCCCGTCTTTCCTCATCATTTATCATGTCGCCCTTTTAATGACACCACCTGTGTCGACAGCGAGGGGTCCGCTCAGAGTGTGTGCGTGCGTCTTTGTGTTTCTATTTGTGTGCGGATTCGTGTTTACCGGCACGCTCAGATAACACGCAGGTCACATCTGGCCTGGCGACACCAGAAACCTCCTTCCCTCCCCCGAAACATTCGGTCAGACACGCTCTGTGCCGGTGCCTTCGGGGGACGCCTGACCCTCGCGGAGGCCTCGCGCCGCCACACATCACTCACTGTCTTGTAACTTTGCTCGCGTCGCTTTACAACAAGCAAAGGTGTGAAGCGCCAGCCGGGCTTTGACTGATGCGAGACGACGCGCAGACATTCCATGAGCTAAAAAACAAATTGTGTACAAAAGACGGCGGTGACATAACAGCTGCAGAAACTGGCCATCTGCTCCGTTTGTGCTTCTGTCAGGAGGCGGCCGAGTCACGTGTTGTTATTTCGAATTGGGTTTTGAAAGGGCTTCATTATAAAAATCCAAAGATCAAGCAGAGCATGTGATGTTTGTGAGGTTTTTACGCAACTCTAGTTTGTCAGACTGTGGCCTCTGTTGTCTCGCAGACGAGGATCACGTCTCCGTAAACCTCACAGAAATGTGTATCGTCATGTGTAGCGTGTGCAGTTGTGGAGGAACAAAGCAGCTGCAGGATCTCCTTTGTGAAGTTTCCCTGAATGCCAACATGGTTTAAACGATTTACCTTCACTCTGTGTGATTCACGCAGGAAAATACAAAATGCACCAAAACGATGAATGCACTGAATTCTTCAAATATTTGAGTGTCTGAGCGTCACATGTGCAGTGACGAGAAAACAAAGCAAAGTAAATGTGGATTTTATAGAAAAAAAAATTTTTTTTTAAATGGGTTTTTTATGGTTTTAAACTAACAATTTACGATTATTTTACAAATTTTCCCTGGTTGTTAAATAACAGATAATATCTTGTGAAATTACTGGAAAAAAAAAAAAGTGTTAATCTACATGTTGACTGTAAAGATTAAAAAATCAGACCAAGACTGTAAATAATATCCATAAATATCCACATCTAAAGTCTGTGTGTTGTCAATGGGACAAAAAAAATGTTTTGCTGTTTTTAAATCAGCAAAAAATCCAAATATTTCTAAGATATTTGCCAATATTTGCATTATTTAAAAGAAAAAACATGTATATTAAGGATTGAGAAATGTTCAATATTATTTACTTTCCAGATTTGTTAAATTACACATTAAGAAAATTACAGAAAAAAATATTAATTGATGTGATTTTTAAAGACTTTAGCTGGTTTTGGTGTTATTTCTTTGCTTAAATGTCAAAGTATTCCACATTTCTTTTAGTGTGTTTTGAGCTTTTTCTAAATTGTCTGAACACACAGTTTAAAAACTACAATCATAAAAACACTGAGCTTTGCTTTGCAGTCGCTGCTCTATGAACTGCAAAGAAACAAAACCAGAACGACGTCATGCATTACGAATTGGATGATTTTCCAGGTTTGCGTGCGAGTTGCTGGGATGCGTCTGATGAGCTAATCAGGTTGTGTGCTGCTGCTGCCTCACAGCGTCTGGGACAGTCGATGAGCAGCAGTCAAAGCCTCGGTCGCAGCCACAACACAGACGGCTCCGTGCCGGGAGGAGGCCGGTCACAGCCCAGTCCACTGATTAGGTGGAAATCACGAGTTCTGTTGTGCTTCTGAGTACGGCGCTCATTCTTAGAAATCATTAATCAGCATCAAAACAATAAAAAAAAGGGGGAATTTCTTGTCTACAGCTCCAATATTTTGCCATATTTTTCTCAGAATATCTGCCCCTAAAGACTTAAAAAGACGGTGTTAAGAGGTCAAAGCTGTAAAAGTGTTTTAAGCTGCCAAAGCTCCAGACGCTCGGAAAGGTCAGAAGCTGATGGTATTTGGTTTATGTGTGCATTTCCAAAACGTCTGTATCCTTTTCAGCTGCGGCCGACAGAAAAGGTCAGAAATATAAACTTCAGAGGATGCAGTAAACAGCAACGAGCCAAACTAAAGTTCCTCAAAATGGCATTCTGGCAGCGCAGTGACTCACCGTTTGTAATGATGTTCAAGCCGATAAAAACATATTCTTTGGTTTAAAGGTGCACTTTCTGCAGCTTCTGAACACACGCACAGAAACGTTTCATTACAGGACCAGACCTTATTTAAACTCCTATTTGCAGTGACGTTACCGTCCTGACCCCTCCGACCCCCCTCAGGGTTCACACCTCAGTCCGGCTGAGAATTAGTCACTCTGTCCAAACACCTCCTGACAGTTTAAAAACGTGTCTGTGTCGCCTCCCCCTCGCAGGTCCAGAATGTTCCAGGAACTTCACGCTTCCCAGAGGAGTCATCAAGACGCCGGGCTTCCCCGACAAGTACCCCAACAACCTGGACTGCACCTTCATGATCTTCGCCCCCAAGATGTCGGAGATCGTGGTGGAGTTCGACAGCTTCGACATGGAGCCCGACGTCACGCCGCCGCCGGGAGCCCTCTGCCGATACGACTGGCTGGAGATCTGGGACGGATTCCCTGCAGGTGAGGATGAGGTTTGAGAGGAGGGCGGGATAAGAAACAGGAGCTCCGGCTGACGGAGGAAGGGAACATCTCAAGGTGGAGGCTTAGAAGGAAACAAAATCAGCAGCTACAGGGTCTCGTTGGTGAAATCTGCGTCTCAACGGCACTCAAGAACTATTTAAATCCACTGAACATGATTCATGCAGAAAACTGATCCTTCACATGTTAGCTGTAAGAAAAATGTCCACGTCTGTACTTCTAGGACGTTCAGTCGTTTGCATTTGACCATAAATTTACTCAGCTTTACTGTATTTAAGAAAAACTATTATTTATTCAAAGATATTTGCTGTTGAAAGATAATCTGTATATTTCAAGGATTGAAAAATGATAAATAATAATTGATATTTTACAGATTTTGCCCATTTTTGTGGAATATCTACAACTAGTACGGGGGAAATAAATATGAATATGCATGTTTACTTTAAATAAACTGAAATAAGAGGCTTAGAGGTCGATAGAAACAGAATCCGCTTGAGCTGTAAGAATAAGATGCTTCAAATTCTGGGGTTTTTTTTTTGGGTTTAACTTCAAGATGAAGTTGTAGATTTTTGTACCAAATATAGAAAACTGATGTGTGCACAGGCGCTATTTTTACCTGATTCAATACAATAAGATAAAACAGTAGAACTGTACATAAAAGAAAAATGCACTTGGAAAGTTAAAAAAGGAAGGCACAGAGGATTTATTGGTGGGTAAATCAGCATTTTATAAACTTTCAAGCCTGCTTGTTCACCACCTGTAAAAGTTCACCAAAGAGAAATAAAAAAAAAAAGGTCAAATCTGCGACTCTTAAGAGCAACAAAAAGCCACTAAAAGCATGAACAACTTAAGATGTGAATGGAGCATTTGATTGGAAGGATGTTTCAAAGCTTTGGAGCTGCTGCTTGTCGGTCAAATTCAGAATTTCCCTATTTTTAATATTTTGGAGTTCTCCTCCTTTACTTCAGGCGGCTTCAGCAAACAAGAAGAAAATGTTGTGTTCTTCTGTCCTGACTGTCTCACTTCAGCTCAGTTCAAATGGTGCCTGGTTATCTTGGTGAAAACATGTATTTTGGGAATTTCGTCACATCTGAGTATGAAAAAAAGACTTCTAGTCGGCATTTAAAAGCATTTTAAAGTGTTTTACTGTCTCTTAAAGAAAGAAAAACACTGTCAGCGTGATGTGGAAATAGTAGATTTTAACTGGTTTGAACCAAACTTGAGTCTCATGAAAGAAATATGTTTGCTTGTTTTGCATCAAATTCTGAGAAATGTCGTCTCCTTTCAGTCTAACAGTCTGATTGTTGCTAATTTAATCATTCTGAATAATCCTGAATTTAAATCTAATAATCCAAATACTAAGGATCCCTTGTTCCTTCAAAGTCGACCTGTTTCTGCTTCAACCTCCCCGACAGCAAAACAAAGATCACCTGCAAGATGAATATTTATTTGAAATATATGTTCAGACTTGTTTTCTGCAGAGCAACACGTCTGAAGCTGCTGATTACGCATTAAAGGAGAAGTTTGACAGTTGGGGAAATACACTCATTTGCTTCCTTGTTGTGTTATATGAGAGGATCAATACCACTCACGTAGAGATTCAATTATAGTCAGCAGCCCGGTAGCTTAGTTTGGGCTGGAAACAGAGGCCCAAAGATCCAAAACTCTGCCTGCTAGCAGCTCACCAAAGCTTCCCAACATGTCAAAAGCACGCAGACGCTTGCAGCAGGTAACAATCATTAATCATTAGCGCCTCGGCTGATGCTCGTTTGTCTTAATTCCAGTCTTTTTTTATTGCTTGAAACTCATCCTCCTGTGCGCACACGGAGGCTGGACGCACCGAAGGCGGGCGAGACACAGAGGCTCCGTCACAGCTTGCTCATTGTTCCTTCCACCCGCCACATTTGGAAAAAATCAGCTCGGTGCACATGAATGACGGCGACGCAACCTGCTCTACCCTCTGTTCGCACTCCTCCCCTGCACTTGGATGCCGTTTTGCTCGGCTCCCATTGTTGTCTAATTAGCCGTACAGCGTGCAGATAATCGCGAGAGCTGCATACCTCGGACAGGCCTGCGGCGGCTGCCAGGATGCCCACAATACTCGCCGCTGTGCCCAAAGCTCTGCCTGGTTCCTGCCAGGGAGGAGACTGGCATGGGAACACCAGGGACACAAAGACTGGCACAGGTATACAGACAGTGACATACACTTTTAAGCCGTGCCAGCATACATAACATGCCAGGGCTTTTCCTGTCAAATGATCCGTGTGTGTGTGTGTGTGTGTGTGTGTTCAGGTGTGTGTGTGTGTGTGTGTCAGCACATGAATGTGTGTTAACGCGTGCAGTGTTAAAGCCGAATGTTTGCTGAGGGAACATGTGTGTCAGAGCAGATAACACAGCATCTCTGCAGCAGGGTTAAAGACCAGGATGTAGTTCTTCATCCCTTCAAACGCAACGCAAACATCAAACATTCCCATGATGCACTGGTTTTTTCTCTCCTTAAATCAGCTCCTCAAAGGGACATGCAACACAAATAGACATCCTTATTTTGGATTATAATGCTTTAAACAAAACAATTCAATACATTTTTGCACATATTTGCTCACAGATCTGTTCCAGTCTTATAAATATCTTAACTGATGAGTCCTTCTAATGTCGCTTTTTTCTTTTTAATACAAAGTTCTTGCTACAAAATCCACTTTCTGTTTTTCTTTTTCTTTGCTCTCAGCTCCATTTTATGTTATTATTGGAGTTTGTTCAGTTGTCATATAAAGGCTACAAGAAGTGGCTGAAAGCTCTGGAAGCAGGTCAAGGTCAGGCCTGTCTGTGTGGCTGTAGGGGGGAAAAAAAAAGAAAGTCTGTCAAGCAAAAGTGCCAGAATAGATGCACTAAAGTTCCAAACCTGTGAAACAGTCAGAGTAATGACACCACTATTTGTCCTATAATTATATTTAGATATATATAAATGATATTTTAGGCTCCTATAAATACAGTGAAACAGTATAATTTTCAGGTTACACCAAGGAAAAATGTTTGTTGTAAATGTTTGCCTCAACATGTAAATTAATACTTTTTTTCTTTGAATTCACTAGAAACTATTGTTATTATATATTTTTAAGATGCTGGGGAAAATCTATAAGAAAAAGAAGTAAAACAAAAAACAACAACAAAAAGATTATCACCATTTTTTCAGTCGTTAATATACATTTGGTTTCTTTTTTAAAAAATGGCACTATCTGTAAAATAATAAATTACATAAACAGATGTTTTAAGTTGATGCAGTGAAATTGTGTAATTTTATGGACTGTGTTGGAGAAGAATAGATTATTATTTGTAAAAATCAGATTTAAAAATTTTTTTTAATGTCAATGCTATTTATAGTTTTGGCCTGTAAATTATAACGTTTTCTCGGCTTTTACTGGAGATTATCTGCAATTTTAAAAAAAATAGCAGTAATATTATTGTTAATAATATTAACATATATATTTTTATATATAATGTTTTTTTCAATCCTTCATTTGTCTTAAAAATAACTTAAAATAATTTTTTTGCTCATTCAGCTTCAGTAAAACTTTATTGTTACATGTTGGAAGAGAAAAAACACAGTTTGTATAAATCCATGTTCTTGATGTGGCCGTTATGTAAAGTTCTGGCCCATTTTGTCGTAGATTTTACTAAACATCTACAATTTAACAAAACGGGAAAAAAATATCAAATAACACTTAAAAAAAAAAAAATCTAATCTATGATGAAATCATGTTTTTGCTGCTTTAAATACTCTGAAACTGTAATTTTACATTCACAAAAACATCATTTTTTCACATTTATTTAACATATAAAATATATTGCTGTTGATGTGAGTATTCAATATAAATGAGGCCTTTTTAAAAGTAAAAATAAATAAAATTATGTAAAGCTTTAAGCTCATTATTCATTTCACTCGTACGTCTGTGGCTGTAGCGCGCCGATCTTTCGTGATGTCTGGAATCCTGGAATTACATTTTCTCCTGCAGTTCTTCTTCGTGTTTACTCCATTTCCTTAAGTGCATATGCAGCCATATTGCCTGCAGGATTTTTCCTGTTTCGGGGGCTGATTGCATCGGCTTTACAGCGAAACCATTTCACACCACCTCTGATAAGGCTGAGACAGTTCTGAATGTAATCCGTCACAGATTGTCGACTACCTGCTTTAAACTGTAACCGATAAACATAATCCGTCAGATTACTGAAGCTCAGCATTCCACTGAGATTGCCTCGTGTTTTTTTTTTTTTTTCTTCTTTTTTTGGTTGTTTTGCCTCCGTAGCTGAAGGAAAGTGTTGTAAAAGTCTAATGTTTGTAACATATGACGGTTCAGTGTGAGCTGCATGTTGCTGCTTGACTCCTTGAGTCCTGCAGATAGAGTATCTGCAGCCGGCAGCAGCAGCAGCACAGGAACCAACATTGTTTCTCACAGATAAGAAGAGGATGAAATGGAAGAAAACTGTGGACAAGCAGCAACTCAAAGCCTTTAAAACATGAGGACGTGTCGCTGGGTGCTGCATATTAAAGAAGGAACATGTTGTTACAGCAGATATTAGCTTGTACCGCTCGTGTTTTATCTCTCGCCGCTCTTTGCTGAACATAAACCTCCAACAATCTCGCAGCAAACTGCAGAAAATGTTTTCTGAATCTGTAAAGCGTCTGTTATCCAACCGGGTCTAAAATCATTTGTCTACTGCAAAATTAAACACTTTATAAACCAATAACAAGGCTCGACTTTAGCAAAATTTGACAAATCTAAAACTAATATTAGTGGTATATTTATCTGTCATCATATTTTCCATCATTCACAACATTAAGCAAAGTGATGTCATTTTAAACTACAATTTAACCTTTAATAGAACTTTATTAAGATTTAATTTCTTTATTTAGAATTATTTAAAGATTTTGAAATAAATAACATTAATTATTTTGTTTTATCATGTAGTTTGTGATAACATCTGAC